AACATTTGATACCCTCGTCACAGTCCTACCATCCTAAGAACATATATCATTACATACACGATATAGAAGAATATGCATTTTATTGATAAATAAACATTTATTACAGAGTCAATATTACAATAATTGATTGGCTCTAGGGCACCTACTCTAACAATCTCCCACTTGCACTATAGCCAATCATTCATGTATTTAATACCAAATGACCTTAAGTGTTTTTCATGCTTCTGCTATGACAGAGACTTCGTCAGTGGATCGGTGAGATTGTCATCAGTATTCACTTTACTGATTTGTACATCTTTCCTCTCAACCATTTCTCTAATGAGATGAAAACTTCTGAGTATGTGTCTGGACTTCTGGTGAGACCGTGGTTCCTTTGCTTGAGCAATTGCTCCATTGTTGTCACAATAGACATCTATCAGATCAACAATCATGGAAACCATACCAAGTTCAGTGACAAACTTCTTAATCCAGACTGCCTCCTTGGCCGCATCGGATAATGCAATATACTCAACCTCCATTGTAGAGTTCGCTACAATGCTTTGCTTGGAGCTCTTCTAGCTGACTACACCCCCATTGAGACAAAATACAAACCCTGATTGTGATCGATAATCATCTTTATCTGTTTGGAAACTGGCATCACTGTATCCTCTTACAGTGAGCTCATCTTCCCCTCCATAAACCAAGAAAATGTCCTTAGTCCTCTTCAGGTACTTAAGGATGTTCTTGACAGCTATCCAGTGACGCTCACTTGGATCCGATTGATATCTACTACAAGTGCTTAACGCACATGAGACATCAATCCGAATACATAACATGGCATACATGATGGATCCAATTGCTGACACATATGGGATCCTCTTCATTCTGTCTCTCTCATCATGTGTTTTAGGACACATATCCTTAGAGAGATAGACACCATATGACATCGGAAGAAATCCCTTCTTGGATTCTTCCATACTGAATCTCTTCAGTATCTTGTCAATGTATGTACTCTGACTTAGGCCAAGCAACCTATGTGATCTATCTCGGTAGGTCTTTATTCCGAGGATGTAGGCTGCTTCTCCTAAGTTTTTCATGGAGAAGCACTTGGATAACCAAGTCTTTACCAGTTGCAAGTTCGATATATCATTTCTGATCAAAAGTATGTCATTAACATGCAACACTAGGAATGCCACTGCGCTCCCTCTCACTTTCTTGTAAATACAAGGCTCATCTTCATTCTTGATAAAACTGAATTCTTTTACGGCTTCATCAAAATGAATGTTCCAGCTCCTTGAAGCTTGCTTGAGTCCATAAATGGATCTTAGCAACTTGCATACCTTTTCAGCTTGCCCATCAAGAATGAAACCATCGGGTTATGTCATATACACATCCTCTTCAAGGTTTCCGTTCAGGAAAGCGGTTTTGACATCCATTTGCCAAATCTCATAATCATAGGTCCGTTTAGTTTATTATTTCATACCCTATTCCCAATCATATTCTCAAAATATATGTTTGTTTAATTATTCAGGAAATACTATTATATTTTATTTAATTACTTTTAGACCCCTTAAGTTTATTAATTTAATTAAACACCTCCAGAAAAAAGTTTAAAAATTAACAAAAACACCCCCACCCACCCATAGTTACCAAATTCCGACAACCACCATCGGTGGTAGCCAAAATCTGCCACAACGGCGTACAAACGACCATAACTAGCCAGTAATTTGTCGATATGGCCTTTTCCAGCTAGATCCACAGATCCATAGCGGCCAGAGCCGTCAGCGACAGCCAAAGAAATGGCTGTCGTTGATGGACAACAATGGCCATATCTTTGGTCGTCGCTGACAGCCAGATCTGGCCTTTTGCAGCCGTCGACGGCCAGATCCGTGGTGGATCTGTCCGGAAAAGGCCAGATCGATGCACGATCGACTGGTCTACTTCGTAACCCCATATTCCAACGGTGGTGGCCAGAATTTGGCACTGTGGGTGAGTAGGGGTGTTTTTGTCATTTTACAAAATTTTTATATATTGGGGTGTTTAGTTAAATTAGCAAACCTAGGGGGTTTTTTGTTAATTTTTAAATTTTACCTTGTAATAATCACCCTATTCAACTACCCAATATTATTTTCAAAATCCTATCCAAAATAACAAACCAAACAGACCCCATGATATGCGGCAATCACAAGCATAATCCGGATGGATTTAATCATGACAACTGACAAAAAGGTTTCCTATAGTCAATACCATGAATTTGTTTGAAACCTTTGGCAACTAGTCGTGCTTTATAAGTGTGCACCTTGCCATCCATGTCAGTCTTCTTCTTGAAGACCCATTTACATCCTATGGGTTTTACCCCTTCAGGTGGTTCCACCAGAGACCATACTTGGTTCTGGTACATGGAGTCCGTCTCAGATTTCATGGCTTCAAGCCATTTAACAGAATCTGGATCTGATATAGCGTCTTCATAGGTTTTGGGTTCATCGTCCTGGTAGACAAGTACGTCACCATGTTGAGTCACGAGATAACCGTATCTCTTAAGCTCATGGCATACTCTCCCAGATCTACGTAACTCCTATGCTACTTGAGGTGGTTCACTTTGATCCACAAGTTGTAAAGTAACCTCCTCCTGATGTTTAACCATTGCTTGTGGCACATCTTCTCGTCCTTCGTCTAGTATATCTTGTGGCTCTAGAACTTCATCGAGTTCTACTTTTCTCCCACTAGTACTTCTTCAAAAAATTCCTTTTCTAGGAGGACACCAATACGAGCAATAAAAATTTTGCGCTCTTCTGGATGGTAGAAATAGTATCCTTTGGTCTTTTTAGGATACCTCACAAATATACATTTGTAGGATTTGGGGCCCAGCTTGTTCGAAGTCAATTTCTTGACATAAGCTTCGCAACCCCAAATCCTTACATAAGACAAATTGGGCTTTTGCCCATTCCATAGTTCAAATGGAGTCTTGTCTACAGACTTTGACGGCACACGGTTTAAAATGTGAGTTACGGTCTCTAGGGCATAACCTTGGAATGATGCAGATAAATCACTAAAACTCATCATGGACCTAACCATGTCAAGTAAGGTCTTATTCCTCCTTTCAGACACTCCATTGTGTTAATGCTCATGGCTGACACTTATTGTGCACAGAGACACATCTACTAGATAAAGATTTACTTTATTAACCAAGCCAGCTGTCAAGTGCAACAAATAACATTTGAAAAGGTCGTTCAAAAGAGACATTTATTTAACATGTCAAACATGAACACCAAACAAGATGGTTCAGAATTTTCAACTATGAAATATTTTAAGTGTTTTCAAGTTGTGAATGATAATTAGAGTTCAAAACATCTCCCGATGACTTAAGACAAGATCAAGCTCAGGTTAGTTGATCTTAGCAAATGATCACATCAGGTCGTCTGTATTACTCTCAAGTCATAGCTCACGACTTGCATTCAATTCGCAAGTCAAGACAAAATTTCAAAAATCAAATCAAGCAGCTGACTTCATATCGTCTGCAATGATGTGATTGTCTCTCAGCTCTCAGCTCAAGCTAGCATTTCTAAAGTCAAGACAGTTCGCAGCATAATCATGAAGTTCTCAAGATCCAATTCCTTGAATCTCAAGAACTGTGGAATTTCTGTTATGCCTAAAAAATCAAGGATGATGTAAGCTTACATCAGCAAGCACCAATCAGAGCTCAGGAAGGCTTTATGCCCCCAAGAATCTGTTATGTCGCCCCAAGACAGAGAGAATATAGTTGTCACCAACCCAGTAGACTCAAGTTTTGTCTTAGAATGAATGTGGTTCGCACACATGTCCAAACCCCATTTAATTTAAGAATATGTCGTAAGTTATCAACCAATGGAACGCAAGGAAGGATTCACACGGCACCTACCCACTTGTAGACTTGTAATCATTACCTTGAACTCAGCGGCTATAAATAAAGGCCTCCCCCTCACAAAATCAAGATTAGAGCTCTTTGAATTCAACAAAGCAAATAGCAAAGACAATCCACGGGAAAGAGACTGACTTAATATTCTCTCTGAATACCAAGCTCTTGTAATTTTGTTCACTGTTCACTACCTCTTGTAAACTTGGCTAATCACCAAGAACACTCATATAAAAGATAACAGTGGATGTTGGAATCGCTTTAAGCATCAGAATCACTATAAAAATTCCCATTGTCTCCTTTATATTTAAGTCTTTGCTGCTATTGTGACCTTTAATCAACTCACAAATCTAATCACGTATAATTTCTAAGACTCTCTTAGCACTTTGCACACGCGAGGTTGTTGATGTTAAAATCACGCATCAACAGTAGTTACATTAGTTCAAAACTTCAGGTTCAAAATCAATTTTTATTAATTAAACTTCAAGTTTGTCACTAGTATTTAGAACTTCAGATTCTAAACCCATATATTAAAATTAAAACTCAGAAAATCAAGTTCTGATATCATATAGATTTTTCATCTAATATATAGAACTTCAGGTTCTAGCATAAAAATCAAATTTTAAATCCAGAACTTGAGGTTAATGGTTTAAGATTGATTTTTAACCTTCAGATTCATTTATCATTTCAAATATGTTTACCAAAGCTGCTCGTGTTGATAACATGATATAAAATAGCATAATAATACATGGGAAGGAGTTGAGTTAACAAAATAAAAGTAAGATGGATTCAAGCGAAAGAATTGAGAGATATAGGGTTTAGTTGATAGTTTAGGACATAAGCTTTTGATGCAGGGTTTTTATAGGCTACAAACCGCCTCAAACAAGTGAACTAAAACCATTAGATCTTAGGGCCAGTTGGCATTAATCTAAAGGGTAGTTTACTAGGGCACGTGTAAATTGCATTTAATAACTTGAAGATGTGTGATGATAAACTTTGTTTAGATATTAATAACATTTCATGATTCATCACATTGATATAAAAGTTTATACTATATTATAAAAATAACCACATAAATGCTTTGAAATTCCAAAACAATCGATAAACAGTTAAACAGAATCTCGGTTCCAACAACCAGAAACGTGCTTCGACACAAACGCAAACTCAGAAGGGTAGTTGTTATTTTCATCATAATGAAGATACAACTCCACTTGTTTTCTTTCTTTTAGTTTTGTTCACGTTACCCAAAGCTCCTTAATTTTGTACTACCAAATTGAAAGGTGAGGCAATTTATTAAATTCAAACAAGAATGATACTGCGAATCTGAATGATCATCATTCAGTCTTGTTATATAGTGGGGTTTGAGTATTAGAGGCTTTGCTACGATGGAAGAGAGGTTCAGATTGGTCTCTATGTTTCTTTTGGTGTTTTTGTGTTTAGTTAGTTGTAATATAAGCTTCAGCTGGGCTCATGTTGATGGATTTGGAGAGCAGCCCCTCTCCAAGATTGCTATTCATAAAGCTGTTCTTGCGCTCCATGACTCTGCTATTGTTAAGGCATACCCGAGTGTTCTTGGTCTAAAGGTAACCATTTTATATATTATGCTCATTTCTTTATTTGTTTTTGTTTTGTTCTCTCTTTTGGATAAATGTTGAAGGCAAATACTCCTCGAATGTGTTTCCTTGATGACTCTAATAAGGATGATGTAGTTGTGGTTGATTGAAGTCTTTAAATTTATTAAAAAATTGCAGCCTTCAAGTTGACTTTGTGTTCTCATTTTTATGATTACAGGGGGAGGATACTCAATGGGTAACTGTGAAACTTGTGTCCCCAAATCCATCAGCAGATGATTGGGTTGGAGTCTTTTCTCCTGCAAAATTCAAGTAAGGTCCTTATATTAAGAACTGCCAAAAGTGTGGCTCATCAAAAGATAAATAATAAAACTCAATGGGGTTAAGTCTCTTAAGACTAGTAATATGTTAATATGGATCTTTTACTTGTTGGATTTGTAATACTTGCATATAGTCTAGCATCCCGGAAATTAGGATCCTTCTTAATTTATGATTCGTCAGCCCACTGGAATGAATTGAGAGTGAGAGTAGATAAGAGTTAATGATCAAGGTAAAATATTACGAATTTCATTTTCAAACAATCAAGTTCCATACCCAGTTTGACTCTCATTTTTAAATGTTTGGTATTTGTGTCTCATGAATATTTGTAAATCTATCTAATTGCAATTGAGAAGGATTGATTCATACATTTTACTTCATCTTATTTACTTGGCTTTTTACAAGAAAGATCTTTCAATCAACTAATTTTCTGATTATTAATTTCTGTCACCAAATTTTGATAACAATATAAATTTCCAATTATTTATGTTTCAGTTGTTAGAAAACGTTTGCTTTGGTATGCAGCTCATCAACATGCCCACCAGTAAATGACCCAAAAGAACAGACACCGTATATATGCGCAGCTCCAATAAAGGTGTGTACATTGCAGTTTGTGGTTTCACATAAAAAGTTAATTATGAAAGAGTCAATTTGATTTTGGATTCTTTTGTTCCAGTACAAGTATGCAAATGATTCAAATGCAAGCTATTCGAAAACAGGCAAAGCTTCTTTGCAGTTTCTGCTTATAAATCAGCGGGCTGATTTTTCCTTTGCATTATTTTCAGGCGGGTTGTCCAATGTGAGTTCACATGTCTATGTCCGTTCTTCCTCATCATAGATTTTCTTACATGTGTTAATACATTGCCATGATTCATCTCATATCTTTTATTTCATTCCTCATTTTTATCTTCAGGAAATTTTGTTGTCAGTTTCAAGAGCGTTAATTCTGTTCTTGGATTTTGCAGCCTAAATTAGTGGCAGTTTCAAATTTCATATCATTTGCCAACCCTAAAGCACCCCTTTATCCACGCCTTGCTAATGGGAAGTTGTGGGATGCAGTAAGTAGGTTTCTATTGATATGAGCTATCATTGTTTTGTGAAGTTTACTTTCATTAATTATTAGTGCTGAAGTAAATTGGTAGTATGTCCCAAGCTCACCTCAAGGTTCCTATAATATCTCTCTAAGTTTAGAATTCTTAGTTTATGAAGATCCAAATTTGCTTATTCATGAGTATGTCCTCTGGGAGAAGTTTGTTTTACACATAATCTCTTCTTTTACTTTTGGAAGACGCCAAATGGTGCTTTTAAAGATAATTATTTTCCTAAATCACGTAGTAAGACTTTGCTAAATTAGATCTGTCACTAATAAAAAACTCTATGTTTGAGCAAAAATTTTACTGTTGTTAAATTTGCTTTATGGGCAATTGTATATCCTATATGTGGTTCAGCTCAGTGGACATGTAATAGCTATTTATATGGATGCTGTTTTGTATCTTGTGTAGATGACTGTAACCTGGACAAGTGGCTATGGCATCAATGAAGCTGTTCCATTGGTTGAATGGGGTTTGAAGAATGATGTACAAACTCAGTCACCAGCTGGGACATTGACATATTTTCAGAATGACATGTGTGGTAAGTAATATCATAGGCAAAAATTTTAATAGTCCTACAGTCAAGGCTTTCATGCAACTGACTCGCAGTAATCTCCTAGGACTAGCTCTGTACACATTGATGAATAGTAATTTTTCACACGTGTGTTGCATTTTTAAATTACGCTGGCCTGTTGCATAATCTGGTTACCTTGTTACTCTGCAGGTTCACCTGCACGAACGGTTGGCTGGCGTGATCCTGGTTTCATACACACAAGTTTCTTGAAAAAATTGTGGCCTAATTCTGTGTATGCATCTTGAAGATGCATAATCTTTTTATGTATAAATATTGTAGGTTGAAGTGGCATTTATTTATTGTTGCCATGATGGTTTTTCAGGTATACATACAGGATGGGTCATCGCTTACTAAATGGTTCTTATATCTGGAGCAAGTACTATTCATTCACATCTAACCCATATCCTGGACAAGACTCTTTACAGTGTGTCATAATGTTTGGTGACATGGGGAAGGTAGTATTGACAAGCCTCTACAGAGTGACTTGCTTTATTTCTTGTTTTGTGGTTGATATATCAAAATAAAGACAATACTATTATTAACAAATTTATCAAGTGGTTTCTGTTTAGTGGTGAGTTAACTGGCACTTTTTTGTGTATACATGCCCAACAAAGAAAAATTGTTAATGCAGTATCTTTTTCTTTCTTTGTGAGGTCACTTTTTAAAGGGAATTTGTCTTTTTTCAAATTTCCTGCATTTCAAGTATCTATCTTTGTGAGATTTTGGCCTTAAAATCACGTTCCAACTATAGAATACCTTGGTTGTTGGAGCCTGAGGTAGTACTTAGTGGCTAAATAGAGCTTTATTTCTAGTTCATCATTATATAATGGTCAAACCTCAGCACTCCCCTTTTAGGTTTTCATTCTTTCATGAATAGTGTACTCAATCTATCAACACTCTACTTTTTTACATCAACCTGATGGCAGAATATATAGGTACTGACCAGTAACAGTAAATTTCTGTAATTTTTTAATTTTGAACATTGGGGATGACAACATGATTTTCAGCTATCGTCTGTTAATTAATGAATAAAGTAGCATTTGTCTTACTTAGGATGCTTGAGAAGACCTGTTAAGGATTTACTGCTAAGAAGCAACTCAAGAAAGCCCTTTTCTCGCTCCCTTACATTATTACTGCTGTCATTTATTCTTATAAGAAGGACACAGGTTAACTGAGTTACTTAAAGATTTGTGCTTCTTCCAACTTTTTTCAGGCTGAGCGTGATGGTTCAAATGAGTATAGTAATTATCAGCCAGGTTCACTAAACACTACAGACCAACTCATCAGGGACTTGAACAACATCAACATAGTTTTCCATATTGGAGATATTACATATTCAAACGGCTATGTTTCTCAGTGGGATCAGTTCACAGCCCAGGTAGAACCTATTGCATCAACAGTGCCATACATGGTTGGAAGGTTTGTTTTCTTTCATGTGAATCAGCTTCATGTCATTTGAAAATAGATCAAAGCTTTGAGTGACAGCACTGACAAACTATAATGTGTTTGATTTCTTCTGCAGTGGTAATCATGAACGTGATTGGCCAAATTCAGGATCTTTCTATGACACTTCAGATTCAGGTGGTGAATGTGGTGTGCCAGCAGAGACCACGTTTTATGTTCCTGCTGAGAACAGAGCGAAGTTTTGGTAACTAACATACATTTTTCTCATATAATGTAAAAACTAACTATTGGTCATTAGAGACTTAAGCATGAATAGTATTATTGAAATATAATAAAGTAATTCAGCATTTAGTGAGGAAGAAACCCAATATGAGAATAGAATACAAACCTAATATATGTCAAGAATGTTGCTTCCTGTATATTAGCCTCCTTCTACTGCCCCAAGCAACCTATGGCATTGCCCTTAGCCAAAAGCTAAGCTTTCTACCCATTTAGCAGTTCAATTTCTTGTGAGGTGGGAGTTATTTTGCGTTCTGAAGAAAACTTAGTTTTATTTTAGGCACTCCTTTATAATGTTCCACAACTTTGATGGGCAGGTATTCAACTGATTATGGCATGTTTCACTTCTGTATAGCTGATACTGAGCATGACTGGAGGGAGGGATCTGAACAATATAGATTCATCGAGAATTGCCTTGCATCAGCAGACAGACGGAATCAGCCTTGGCTAATCTTTGCTGCTCATCGTGTACTTGGGTATTCCTCTAATGAGTGGTATGGTCAGGAAGGTTCATTTGAAGAGCCCATGGGAAGGGAAAGTTTGCAGAAGCTCTGGCAGAAGTACAAGGTGGACATTGCATTTTATGGCCATGTCCATAATTATGAAAGGTCGTGCCCTATCTATCAGGTATGGACTCTAGCAAAATAAAAATCATTTTTTAACGGTCGAATTTAGATTATATGCTTTGGAAACCATGCAATATCATCAGGGACCATGTTATGAAATATTTTTCCATGAATTACTCTGTAAAACTTGCAAAAAAGTTGATGGCTGCATTTAGTGTAACCCCTAATAATTTCTGTAGTTTGTTGTGCATGCAAGAGCTCTTATTGTGTAGTTATGTATTCTTTAGAGTTAGAAAGGTACAAATTGTATAATTTTAAAATTATGGTCTGGCCAAATACAAAGCTTTGTGCTCGGGTTGTGATAATATAAGTTACATTTTAAAACTTCGAAGTTCCTTGATTAAGTGATGCTGCTTGTTTTATTTTTTTAGGCCTATGGTTTCCCAGGTGTTGAATACCTAGCTTCAGACACTTAATGACATTTCCTTATCATTTGATTTCCATTGTGGTGCTGCAGAATCAATGTGTGAATTCAGAAAAATCTCATTATTCGGGCACAGTTAACGGGACAATCCATGTCGTCGTTGGTGGGGGAGGGAGTCACCTATCAAAGTTCAGCAGCTTGATCCCCAATTGGAGTCTTTACCGGGATTATGATTTTGGATTTGTCAAAATGACGGCATTTAACCATTCTTCTTTGCTATTTGAGTATAAAAAGAGCAGTGACGGCAAGGTTTATGATTCCTTCACCATTTCCAGGGACTACAGAGATGTCTTAGCTTGTGTGCACGATAGCTGTGAATCAACCACTTTGGCATCTTAAATCATCCAAATTTAATTGCAGAAATCTGCTTCCTTTGATGCTTCTATTTATGTCAATTTGTAGCAAGTTGTAAAATTTTCTTAACACAATAAACGAATAAAATATTTTCTCTATCATTCTTGAAAAGTCTAGTCAAAGAGGATTCAATGCTGACAGAGCTCTTGCAAGAAGTATAAAGCAAAGACTTCACTGACTTCAGTACTCAGTTTCTCTTCAAAGGAAACTGGAAGTAGCCGTCACCCCTGCCAAAACTAAATGGAGAATATGCAAGAAACTCTTACAGCTTATTTTAAGTATCAACAAATTTTTCAAGACTCCTCATTTAGACTTACCTTTGAGAACCTACGAGAATAGCAGCTGCTTAGACAACGGCTAAGAAAGAACAAAAAGTAAACAATTTCCTATTGATGTAGATCTGACGAATGAAAAGAGATGAAACGTATTGTATCATCATCACCAAAAAGCCACACTATTATAATTAAGGTTATTTGGTACAATTCAAAATTGTATTGTTTTAAATAAGCATATGTCATATTTCTGAGCTGTGGTACAATCTCTGCATAGCAAAGGTGCCTACAAGAAAACTCAAAAAGATATATACATAAAAAAGGGTTAAAAAATATCTCCATAAAAGGTGGCAAGAATTACATTCACCTGCTGCTTACTGGAATCATACAAAACTTCCTAGCTGTCAGTTTGCTAGATACACAAAAGTCATAAACCATTGATGAGAACCATGCGCAATCACCATCCTCCAGTGAGTGACATTTGCTTGCTTTATGGAGGGCAGTGGGCAAAACTATGAAAGAAACCAGCAGTCACCATTACTCCGTCAACCGACCATCTCCACATCATCAAGTTTGTTTTCTTGATCATTTGATGAGCTAATAGAAGCTAACAGATCATCAAATTTTAGCGGTGCATGTCGAACCATATACTGAAATATAACCTGCAGTGCAAATTTCAAAAGGCATGAACAACAGTGTTAAGACAGACACTAAAAGAAACTCAGATGTGGGGAGGCAAGGATAGAAACACAGTAAACCAGCTAACCAAGGACACAAACACACAAATCTAAGACACTGTTCAAAATCAAATAATAATTTATTCTCGTTTACAATTTCAGGGGATTGTTTTCACACTTGCGGAATGGTTCTGACCTTAGAGTAACTATCTGCAAACATGCGTGCTCGATTGGTCTTGCCAAGATAATGTAAATCAGCCTTCTCAAGCTTCCCATCCACAAAACTCAATCCTCCATCACCAATGGCAAACTTTAGAAGACTACCAGAATGTAGCTCTGACTGAAAATTCAAAAGATAAAAAATAACAAATATCAATGAGATTGGCATGAACATATGATGAAAAGAGAGCACTAGAAACATCCTAAGCAATGCATTGTATGAACTAATTAGGCATATAATATCAGTGCAATTAGTTGACAACAAAAGTGACAGGACTTGATCCAAGCATTTATTATGATTACAATGAAACACACCTTCTGTATGAATTCCCTATCTAAGCAGCCAAAGTTGACAGCAGGATCATCTGATGTAGATAGTTTTCCATCATCTTGCAGCTCCAAAACTACCTGATATTAAGAAAAAGAAAAAAAATATATATATAAGCAGTTGGTCACAAGACTCACAACATGAAAATAAATTTTAAATTTTAAGTTCCATACACGTGAATTCATATGTGTTCATCAGACAATGACAAGTTGTATGAACCTTTGATGTTTAACATTATAACTAAAGTTTCCCTCTATGGTAACTTGTCCTATTCAGTCCAAAAGGATCACAATTTATGGTCGTAAAACCATTGTCACTAAACTCTATACAGTTCTACTATTAATAACAGAAATGAATTTTATATTATTTTGATCATGAACAGAATACATCCAACAAAGTATATGTGCACAGCAATCCCAGGAGTACTAAGAATCATAAGCTATTAAACAGTTGGCTCCTGTTGCAGAAACAAAACCTTTTGAACGTTCACACTTGACAATTAAAAGAAATCCATCACTCAAAAGTCAACACGGAACAATACATGTCAAACTTCATAATTTCTGGAAAATAAGAAGATACCCATTTATGAAACAATTCAACTGAAGGAGAGGAAAACATAAAGGAGCACAGGTAAGTGAGGCTTGCAACTTTAACCTGTTGTTGGCTCGGAATGTCTCCTTTACTATCGGTGTCAATTACATATTGACTACAGTGTTCGTCCTTCCAGACTAATGCTAGAGGTGTGTTTCCAGTTTGATAATGTGCATACCTGAGAGGGAAACAATGCAAAATACCATCAGAGAAAAAGAATTTAACGGATCAAAGAAAGTGAATAAGTCAAATTTGATAGACAACTGTGAGATACTAATCAGTTCCAACAATATGAAAGCTAAAAAATTTAAATAAATGACAATAATAAGCATGATGTTCAAGGTGACAGAACAACAACATTATAGAACAAACCATCCCTAAGTGCCAGTCCAAGCAGTCCAGCATAATACTAGGAGTTCTAAATTTACTCTTCGTAGGTAACAGATTTTTTCCTGTTAATAAAGTGGGAGGAATACTAGCCCTTCTGTATTTGAAAATTTTATTTGCTACAGAAGACCTATCACTCAACTAACTGCAAGCTGGAAAAAATTAAAGCTTACACCCTTGAGGAAAATAACGTACTTGTTATAAAACAATAGCCCATCCTTGACATAAGACACCACTCCTGTATATGCTGCATAGAGACCACTCTGGTCACAATTGAATACAGGTACGGAACTAAATCTGAATTTATGGTAACGAGAAGGAGAATCACAGGCCCCAGTCTCAGCCAGCTTGGAGTTCAACCAAAAAAACCTGAACTCAGCAGTGAACATAGAGAGAGTATCCCCGCCAACAACCATGTCAATGACGTAATAAGTTTGATCGGACTGCACCCAAAACCAAAACCACAACGACTATGAGGTTTCAACAAACATTGAGGCAAAAACAAGAAAAAAAACGGATGCAAGAAATAACAAAAATAAAGTAAACCTCGTGAAATATGCAGTCAAGTATACAATAGGATTGAGAAGAGCAGACTGTCTCGATTCTCGCCCCACAAGGCAAAGCAGAGATGGAAATGATGCAAAACAGAGCCATTCCGCAGCCTACTAACTGTTGTTCCGTTTGAAGATACCACAATGCACCTTTTTCCAGCAGGCCTTGCCAATACATACCTACCAATAAAACCCAAAAAAAAAAAAAAAAAAAAAAAAAATGTAATATTAGAAAATTCAATTATAACAAACCACATTGTACACTTTGTTAAATTTATGACATAAATTACAGAGTCATATGCAGAGGAGATTTTAAAGCAAAATTAATTACTGCAATATTACTATTATTATTATTATTATGATACCAGTCATGGGTCAAGCGATCAGGAATGTCGATCATCCACTCAGGAAGCATCAATTGTGCGGCGAACCACTTGCGAGCTTCAGCTCCTTTAAGCTTTGAAGCCTGACGAACATCAAGGTCCTTCGTCAGAGTTCCTGATTCTTCTTCGGATTGGGATTCAGGTTCTTCCACGAGCTCAATTTCAAATTCAGGTACAGGTTCGGGGGTTTGGGATTGGAGGGAAAGGACGGAGGAGGCTAAGCAGCGAGCCTGGTGTTGAGCGTCACGGCGGTTCTGTGCTTGGCGGAGCAGCGAGAGATCCCTGCGCCGCTGTTGATCGGAGATTGCCGGTCTTTTGAACGGACGGCGGACATCGTGGGGCGCCATTGAACTCTTCTCGGCTTCTTCAGAAAAAAACCGACTTCAAAACTTTTACTAAATAAAACAATCACGAACGACGTCGGTTCACAGATACCGAGTTAGTAGAGGTGGCGGACTGGCGATGGGTTTTGATTTGTGAAAGAATAATACTACACATACATCATTCTTATACAATATTTTTCATATAATATCATGTGATAAGGTATGATTGGATGAAAGTTTAATTTTAATTTTAAATTAGCTAATTATATCTTGTCATATAATATTGTATAAGAAATATTATATGAAAATGATGTATGTGTAGTATTACTCTTTTTAAAATACAAATTATAAAAGAACAATGCTAGTTTTACAAAAACACATATAAAGGGAGTATACAAAGACAATCTTCACTTTTGATTTTCATGATTTTTCTCTCTCTCTCTTTCTCTTTTTCTGTTTTTCCTTTGTTTTTTTCTCCTGGATCATGTCATTTTGTAACCTTCTTTGAATGTGTCTTTGCAAGGATAACATTTTTTATTATAGAACAAGTAGCGAGTGGTGGGCTGGGCCGAATCTCAAGGACCAGTCCCAAAGTTGAGGTCGGTCCTTAAGGGACCGGGTCTAAATCCTTAAGGATTGGTCTTGGGTTCATAATTTTTGTTAGGGTCTGAATCGGTCTTAGATACTGGGTCTATAGAACCTGGAAAATTAAATTTAATCCCCTAACTTTTTTTTATATTTCTAAATTGATATTTATGTAAGGGGGTTGCTTTGTAAATTTTTAATTAAAAAATAATGTTCTTACTTCTTATTTAATTAAATAAATTCTTTCATTTATAATATCATGTTATTCATGTATTAATATTGATAGTTAGGATTGTTTTATTAATTAAGCCCTGTGGATGCATGTTTATTTAATTTCCTTGATTTATAGTTTTTCATTGAATTAGATAAATTGAATGCCTAGAAATTATAGCTTAGACTGAAGAAGAACTGACATTAGATTTAGAAAAATGTTATTCTTACTCACTCCTTTTACTCACTACTCTTATTCACTTTTGTTAAAATGACATATAGTATCCGTACTATGCATATAGTACCCGTACTTTGTTGTATATTTACAAAAGTGAGTAAGAGAAGTGAGTAAAGGGAGTGAGTAAGGGTAGCATTACTCTAGATTTATTAAGTTGTGTTTAATTGAATTTTTTACTAGACAGTAGATTGATTTCGGATTAAATTATAGATAGAAAATTAAGAGTGCCTAAGGTATAATTTATAAGTACTCAATATATCTAATTCAATGAAAAACAATACATCAAATAAATTAAATAAACATGCATCCACATGGCTTAATTAATCAAACAATTCTAATTATCAATAATACATGATGTTATAGACGAAAGAATTTATCTAATTAAATAGGAAGCAAGAACATTAATCCTTAATTCCACAAATAAATTAATTAAATCATTGATTGAAAATTAATTACTACACATAGGCTAATGGAAGAAGATTTGAGATAGAAGTCTGGTATATCTTTCTATTGAGATAATTCTAATATAAATACACAGCAGAGTATCGAAAGCTAAAACTAACAGACTTGAACCCACTCCTATATACAAGGAATAGCTAGAAGATAAGATACAAAAATAAATTACAAATTCAAAAAGATTTAGATACAAAGTTGAATATGATATTACTCTAGTAGAAATGGTCTTCAATAGGAGAGTCCTCCTTTAGGCCACCTCNCATAGGAGATTTTAAAGCAAAATTAATTACTGCAATATTACTATTATTATTATTATTATGATACCAGTCATGGGTCAAGCGATCAGGAATGTCGATCATCCACTCAGGAAGCATCAATTGTGCGGCGAACCACTTGCGAGCTTCAGCTCCTTTAAGCTTTGAAGCCTGACGAACATCAAGGTCCTTCGTCAGAGTTCCTGATTCTTCTTCGGATTGGGATTCAGGTTCTTCCACGAGCTCAATTTCAAATTCAGGTACAGGTTCGGGGGTTTGGGATTGCAGGGAAAGGACGGAGGACGCTAAGCAGCGAGCCTGGTGTTGAGCGTCACGGCGGTTCTGTGATTGGCGGAGCAGCGAGAGATCCCTGCGCCGCTGTTGATCGGAGATTGCCGGTCTTTTGAACGGACGGCGGACATCGTGGGGCGCCATTGAACTCTTCTCCGCTTCTTCAGAAAAAAACCGACTTCAAAACTTTTACTAAATAAAACAATCACGAACGACGTCGGTTCACAGATGCCGAGTTAGTAGAGGTGGCGGACTGGCGATGGGTTTTGAACTTTTGATTTTTGAAATGCAAATTATGAAACGAGTAGCGAGTGGTGGGCTGGGCCCGAATCTCAATGACCGGTCCCAAAGTCAGTCCTTAAGAGACCGGGTCTAAATCCTTAAGGATTGGTCTTGGGTCATAATTTTTGTTAGGGTCTGAATCGGTCTTAGATCCTGGGTCTATAGAACCTCGAAAATTTATTTAATCCCCTAATTTTTTATATATTTCAAAATAGATATTTATGTAAGGGGGTTGATTTGTAAATTTTTAATTAAAAAATAATGTTCTTACTTCTTATTTAATTAAATAAATTCTTTTATTTATAATATCATGTATTAATATTGATAGTTAGGATTGTTTTATTAATTAAGCCCTGTGGATGCATGTTTATTTAATTTCTTTGATTTATAGTTTTTCATTGAATTAGATAAATTGAATGCCTAGAAATTATAGCTTAGACTGAAGAAGAACTGACATTAGATTTATTAAATTGTGTTTAATTGAATTTTTTACTAGACAGTAGATTGATTTCTTAACTGTCCGTTAATTAAAAATGGGATTAAATTATAGATAGAAAATTAAGAGTGCCTAAGGTATAATTTATAAGTACTCAATATATCTAATTCAATGAAAAACAATACATCAAATAAATTAAATAAACATGCATCCACATGGCTTAATTAATCAAACAATTCTAATTATCAATAATACATGATGTTATAGACGAAAGAATCTATCTAATTAAATAGGAAGCAAGAACATTAATCCCTAATTCGACAAATAAATTAATTAAATCATTGATTGAAAATTAATTACTACACATAGGCTAATGGAAGAAGATTTGAGATAGAAGTCTAGTATATCTTTCTATTGAGATAATTCTAATATAAATACACAGCAGAGTATCGAAAGCTAAAAGTATCAGACTTGAACCCACTCCTATATACAAGGAATAGCTAGAAGATAAGATACAAAATAAATTACAAATTCAAAAAGATTTAGATACAAAGTTGAATATGGTATTACTCTAGTAGAAATGGTCTTCAATAGGAGAGTCCTCCTTTAGGCCACCTCAAGATGGAACTTGACAAGAGAGACCAATCTTGTTTCTAAGAAATAGAAAACGAGTTCGAGGAAGCGACTTTGTAAGAATATCAGCGAGCTGATTTGTGAAGGATACATGAGCAACTCGTAGAGTCCCATTTTGCACCTAATCACGAATGAAATGAAAATCGATAGCAATGTGTTTCATCCTAGAATGAAAAACAAGATTAGAGCACAATTGAGTGGTTCCAATGTTATCACAGTAAATCACTAGGCATATAGGAAGCTAAAGTCCAAGAGCAGTTAACAAGGAGCAAACCCAATTTATTTTAGCAGTTTTATTAGCAACAGACCAGTACTCTACCTCAATAGAAGAACGAGCTACTGTTCTTTGCTTCTTGGAACTCCAAGAGATAGGATTTCAGCCAAGATAGACAAAATAAGCGTCGGTGGAGGAAAAGTCATCTTCGTTGCCTGCCCAATCGGCGTTAGAGAAGGCATGCAGATAGATGGGAGAGTCATGGTAGAGCTGAAGTCCATGATTAAGAGTGCCACAAAGATATCATAGGAAACGTTTGACAAGAGCCTAGTGTTCAGTAGTTGGCTTGTGTATATACTGAGATAATTTATTAACAGCGAAAGCAATGTCAAGGCGGGTGAGTGGGAGATATTGTAGATTCCCACAACTGCCCGAAAGTTGGTAGGATTAGATAAGCTAGTGCCAGAGTGCAGCAAAAGCGAAGAACTAGTGGATAGAGGAGTTTGTACAGGTTTAACATCAGACATATGAGTACGAGCAAGAAGTTCCAATAGATAATGATGCTAAGAAAGCAAATAACCATGCTGATTTGGAATAACCTCAACACCTAGAAAATAAGAGAGCAACCCAAGGTCCTTAAGAGAGAATCGCTTGGCTAATAGATGAACAAATCAATCCACTATTGTCACATTATCTCCAGTAATGATTAGATCGTCAACATAAACAAGCAAATACAAGATATACCCATCAAAGTTGAAGACAAAGAGAGATGTATCAGCATGAGAATTTGTAAAGCCATGTTGAAGAAGAAAAGTACGGAGTTCTTGATACCAGGCGCTAGGAGCTTGCTTTAGCCCATAAATAGCTTTCCGTAGTTTACATACATGTGATGGAAAGTCACGATCAATGAACCCTAGTGGTTGACTCATATACCTAGTCTCACTGGGAAGACCTTGCAAGAATGCGTTATTAACATCAAGCTGACGAATGGACCAACAGTGACTAACGACAAGACTCAGAATAAGTCGAATGGTGGTAGGTTTAACCACCAGACTGAAGGTGTCATGATAATCAACTCTCAGTTGTTGATGAAAACCCTTGGCAACCAAGCGAGCCTTAAACCTATCAACAGAACCATCAAAGTGATGCTTAATACTAAAAATTCATTTATATCCAACAACATTGTGACTAGGATCAGAGGGTATTAGTTCCCAAGTAAAATTCCGAATAAGAGCATCATATTCTGCAGACATGACCTTTACGCCATTTTGGATCTTTAAGAGCCTAGGTTGGTGTTGTGGGTTCAAGGTCAAGAGATTTGGATAGCTGGGTATGAAGGTTTAACTTTTGAATAGGTTTATGAATGTTATTTTTGGCTCGTGTTTGCATCAAATGAATTGGTCTTGGTGTGGGGGGGTGTGGGTCAATTGGGTTGCGTGGCGGTGGATGAGGGATATGTGGTGTGGTTGGAATTGTGTATTTGGTTTGTGGGGATAGTTGATTCTGTTGGAGCTTCACATTGGATTTGCTATTGAGTGTCAACTTCGGATGGTGGCATGAGTGCGATGGAAAGTTGTTAATTTTAATTATTGGTGTAGTCCACGTAGAAATAGTGGTAGACTATGGACATGGACCTTGTGTAAATAAAGATGCAAAAGGAAAAAATTGATTCAATGAACCTAACATGCCTAGAAACATAGATTTTTGATGTTGTTGGATCATAACAATAATAGGCACTTTGAGCCAGAAAGTCCCCACAAAAAACACAAGGTTTGGAACGTGAGTCAAGTTTGTGAGAATGTATGGGCGAAGCCAGGGATAGCATAAGCAGCCAAATACTTTAAGTTTTGAGTAGTTAGGAGAAGCACCAAACATCTTTTTGTAAGGAGAAAATAGGTTTAACGTTGGAGTTGGCATACAATTGATCAAATACATTGCAGTAGCAAAAGCATTAGACCAATAAGTTAATGGAATAGAGGCATGAGAGAGTAAAGTAAGACCTATTTTGAAATGCGGAGATGACGCTGCTCGGAAAAACCATTGTGTTCGGGTGTGTGGGGTGGAATAGTGAGATGAGATATACCATTAAGAGCAAGAAATTTAGCAAGTGCAACATATTTACCACCATTATTAGAACACAACGTATTGATGTTTTGATTGAAGTGTTTTTCAACTATTGCTTTAAATCGAATGAAGACTTCTTTTACTTCTGACAAAACCAAATATACTTGGTAAAATGATCAACAAAAATAACATAATATTTAAAGCCATCATAAGAAACAACCGGTGAGGTTCAGACATCAGAAAAAATTATTTGAAGCGGTCGATTTGAAACTAGAGTAGAGTTGGAAAATGAGAGTTTGTGACTCTTATTGCAATTACACGTAGTACATAAAAAATCAGAAGTCATGGAAGATGATAAATCTAAATTGTAACTAGAAACAAAGTGCTTTAAAATAGGAAAGGTAGGATGCCCCAATCGGTAATGACACTCGAATGAAGTGGTCTTAACACTTGAGAATGCAAATAGTGGGGAGGATATCGACTGCTCATATACACCATCTTTAGTTTTGCCCATCAACAACATTGTCCCTGTGCGAAGTTCCTTCACAAGAAAAGAATATGGTAAAAATTCAATGGAAACATTGTTGGAAATGCAAAATTTGGAAATTGAAATCATGTTTTGTTTCGTGTTAGGTACACAAAGAACATTATTTAAGGTAAACTGAGCATTGGAAGTTCTGAGAGAAGTGGAACCAGTGTGAGTTATTGGGAGACATGTGTCATCTCCAATCATAATGTCATCAGAGCCTACGTACGATGCATGAATGGATAATTGCTTAAGTCAGAGGTGACGTGATTAGAAACACCACTGGCCAAAAGCCATGTTGGAGTGTTGGATGGATTGGCTGCATAATAAACTCATGGTTGTGAGAATGAGGATGGTGATGTGGTGGTTGTGGATTGTGCAACTGGGGCTAGACAAAAGGAGGGACATCGTTTGGCTATATGTCCCTGAATTTTGCAGATTTGACGATAGTTGAGATAGAGTCGTGGTGGTGGATGGGTTGAGTTAGGCTCGACGTTGGTAAACGCAAGGAAGGGACCAGAGTTAGGCGACGGACGCTAGTCCGTTTTGTTGACGCCGGGTTTGAATGAGAAATGCCAACCAGTATTGGTGGGATTAGATGAGGGTCGCCAACTTGTATTGGTGCGATTGGCAAGATTAGCAGAAGTTGGGAAATAAGAGGGATCAGATTTGGTGCATTGAAGAGTTGATTCGAAACTTGATAACTTTTCATGAAGTTTATCAAATCCAATTGGATTGTCTTTGGCCTGAACTAGACACACAAGCTCTTTGTAGTCATCACCAAGGCTATCAAGTATTTTCTCAGTTAGATCTTCAACATCAAGTGGTGCTCCAAGGATTGCAAGTTCATCGGCGTGAGCTTTAACTATCTGTAAGAATTCAGAAACAGTTTGTGAGTCCTTGGTGAGATTTTTAAGTTGGCTTTTTACCTGTTTGATTCGTCCCCGAGACGGCTTTCCATAAGTATTGGCTAATATAGTCCATGCTTCCCTTGAAGTGTTAGCTCTAGAAATGAATTAAATAATGGTAGAAAAGAGAGAACCAACAATGGCATTGAGGATTAGTTGATCCTATTGAATCCAGAGTGTG